AAAAATGAACATGTGCAACTCCTTCGCCAACCTTGCATCTTTTTCTTCCGCTCTGGCTTTTGCCGCACGTTCTGGTGCGTCTTCAAAACCGATGGCTTTCTTGACTCTCTTTGAGAAGTCTTTAATAGAGCAGCCGTGTGTTGCGTTTAGCCGAAGCATCGGTCAAACACAAAGTGCCGGTGTGGAGGAGGCCTGTGGTGTTTCTGGAGCAGACGGGGCTGCTGTGGACGGGATGGCCTGCAGCGCTCCGGCTAGACTCATTTTGCACTCTGTCAACAAATTTAACACGAGGGAATAATTAGAGAAAGATTATGCTTCTGCTGAGAAATCACAGCTACTGTACAGCCACTTCTGTTTCATTTTAGGCAGACCTGAGGATACATACATGAGTTCCAACATGATATCTTTACTTGTGACAGATCAATATAAAGGCAAGATTTGTAAGATTTTTGATTGTGATGGAACCTAAAGGAAGCAATTTATTGTATTTTATATAGTGTATGTATGTATTTCCAATTATGCAGCGTGAAAGAAAAATATTAAATATCATATAATAGAGACAAAATGACGTTTCCAAAACTAAATCATTGTTTTTTATATTGTCATTAAGACTGAAGTAAATTATTTTAAAAACAAAGTCAGTATTATTTTTAGGAGAAACACAACAGAAAATCCATGGGTGGTATTATTATTATTATTATTACTATATTTTGTAAATGTGTTAAAAATTATTGTTAAAAATATTTAATTAATATCTTATGTAAACATGGAAAATATTTACTTTCTTTTAACATGTATTTTTTTCTACTTACTAATAATAATAATAATAATAAAAATAATAATAATGTTAATTATTTGTATTTGTGTTAAAAATATTTTGTTGATGACTCATAAAAATAAATTTTCTTTTTCAAATGTTGCCTTCCTTCAAATTTTGGACCCCATTACTAAATTCTGTGCTAGTATTTAATATTTAACATTTTCAACAATCGGCTGAAAGCAGAAACCGATTCACTTGACTGATTCACAATAGCAGTTCCCTTTTGCATCCAATATTTATTCTGTGAATTTTTTAGGAATTTCATTTCAGCAGTTTTGGAACTTCTGTTGTTGTTGTTAGTTGTTTCTTCTTTATATCGGCATTATTGGCATTTGCCATCTTGCCTGCATTTGCCTCAATCTAAATTTCTGACGACACACCTCTGCTCTCTATATTACTGGTACCAGTATTAGAAAATGAAAAACTCTCATTGTTCGACCATCCCTTTTTACATATTCATAAGCAACATTAGACCAGACGTTTTCAAAAGCAGCTCTTTATCAGATACTAATCAAACATTGTCTCTGGCCTTTCTGAGTTATGTGCTCCAGAGATGTGTTGCTCACGTTTCATTCTCAGCAGTTTGACTGATCGTACAGTTTGATCAGCTTGTACTTTGCTGCAGTGTTGGTGATGGATGTTTTCAGACACACACAGTTTGTCCTCGTTCATCGTGAAGGCCGCATCTCTGGCCTGACTCTCTGTTCAGTATTGATTTAGCCTGCTGCTGGCCTCTATCAGGACCGCTGAAAACATCGACAAACAAAGATTACAACATATTCTTTGGACTTTAGTGCACTTTTCTAACACAATTGCTCTGATATTTCGTGCATATCGAGAGAAAGATACATACACATACACATATGGAGTGTATGTAAGTTCATTCAACATGGAGTTGGAAAGGTATGAGGCATTTGTTTACCCAAAAATGAAAAGTTACTGATCGTTTACTCAGGCCATCCAAGATGTTGATGAGTTTGTTTCTTCATCAGATTTGGAGAAATTTAGAATTCTATCACTTGCTCAGCAATGGATGCTCTGCAGTGAATGGGTGCCGTCAGAATGAGAGTCCAAACAGCTGATAAAAACATCACAATAATCCACAGCACTCCAGTCCATCAGTTAATGACTTGTGAAGTGAAAAGCTGCATATTTTTAAGAAACTAATCCATCTAGACCTTTTTTAACATTTAAAAAAAATAATAATAATGAAATACAAGTCCTCGGCCCATAATGTTATGTCCAGTGAAAAAGTTGTCTGGTCTGAATCAGGAGAGAAATAGGCACAGATCAAGCACTATTTACAAGCCAAAACAGATCTAAACAAATATGTGGGTGGATTTTGATGTGAGAGGACAGCAGGAGATGGACTTTTTCACTGGAGGAAGTAGGGAAGCACTGAAATTTCAGCAACTGTAAATGATCGGCCAAAAATGGCATTTTTGGTTTTCGGACGAAAATAAGAACCGAAAAAATATGGCACACCGCCCAGCAGTGTTAGGTCCCGATCAGACCCGACACGTTTTTTTGCAGTGAGAGGCACCTTTTTAAAATGTGTTTCTATTGGCAGTGAGTGTTTTGTGTGCTGTTTATGCGCCCCGGCGTTTTAAGCCCCGGTCAGACAGAACTAATATGTCAGTTTATTAACAGTAAAAAATATTCTAGTGCACTCGCGCTATCCACCTTTTTCTTCCCGTAAGAGTGGGTCTGGCCATTTGTACATTTTATGGGTCTGGCTTCCGGTTTTTCTGAATTAAAAATTTTTTAAAAGTTAAACAAAAAAAAGGTAGTGCGGTGCACCTCACGTTTTCAAACCTGAAAAATGATCGGGGCCTTAGGTTTCAGACGTCGTCACTGCGTGGTGTGGACACTCCGCTCAATATTCCGCTCTATGAATGTGCATTCTGCTCATGTACTGCTTATGCTCACCGGAAAAAGCAAAAACCGTTCAAATAACTCACAGACAGGAAATTTCTATGTAGTATCCAGCTTTTTCTTCAACGCGGAAGTAAGCCACTGGGTGAGACTTCCGGTTCATTAGCCTTCTCATATAACGAGAAGAATAACAACGTGCAGTTAACGGTAAAACTGTTTGCACTACAAACCAGTGTGTTCATAATTAAGATAATACATTAAAATAATATGGTAAGACACACCCATTTTCAATATCAAGCCGCAAAAGGATCGGTTCTGTACAGCTAAAAATAGCTGGACGCGGATGAGACCGGAAGCTAGACCCATAGAATTTACAAATGGCCGCGCCCATTTTTACGGTAAGAAAAAGGTGGATACTTGTTCCTGTTTGCAATAGCGCTACTGTGCTGTATGTAACATGGCAGTGCTGGTAAAATGAGGCTGCCCTCTTGTTCACTGATCTGCCCCCCGCTATGCTCTGCTCACATGCTCTGATAATAATAGCTTTCTAGGACTATACATTATTTGGATAATTAGTCAAAAAAAACAGTTATGATGTTTTTATCAGCTGTTTGGACTCTGACGGCACCCATTCACTGCAGAGCATCCACTGGTGAGCAAGTGATGGAATGCTACATTTCTCCAAATCTGTTGTGATGAAGAAAGAAACTCATCTACATCCTGGATGGCCTCAGGGTGAATTAGTCCTTTAATATTTTATTTCTCAAAAATAAAAGTGCCAAGCAAAACCAAGAAGGGATTTTTGCAAGGGATTTTTCTTAAGTGTGAAGGATATTTTAGTAATGTAACAAACCTTTTTTTTTTTTTTTTTTTTTTTTTTTTTTTTTTTTTTGTTTTTTTTTTTTTTTTTTTTTTTTTTTTTTTTTTTTTTTTTTTTTTTTTTTTTTTTTTTTTTTTTTTTTTGAAGAGTGTGATTTCTCAGGCAGCGCAACTTATATTTTGTTAAATTTTGATAAAAATGTTTTTTGTTTTTTTTTAGAATACAATAAGATGAATGTGCATCAGAATGTATAAATATAAAATAAATAATTTTATGAAAACCAAATAATGTCAAATGAGCAAAGATATTATTGGTCTTCTGGTATTGTGTTAGTGGTGCAATTTTTTGTTGGTAAAATTGAGATTTGATCATTTAAATTTGCCAAATAAAACCTTCAATTGACTTTTCTTTTGATAAAAGTCCTGTCTTTAATCTATAAATGAATTAGTCATTGAAAAGTTCTCTCTGACAAACAAGAAACCAGTCATGAGACTGTGTACGTAATATGGGACGTTTATTTATTTAATACTGTAAATAATAAAGTGTTAAACTGGAAAGCTTATTTATTCAGCTTTTTCAGATGATGTATAAATCTCAATTTCAAAAAATTGACCCTTATGACTGGTTTTGTGCTCCAGGGTCACATTTAATCTTACTGCTTTTTTAACTTTGTCAGCTCTCGGAATTCGACATGATCTCTGTCCTTTGTCCACAGGTGTGCATAGGGAAGATGTTTGCAATCCAGAAGACGGTCGTTGAACAGGAGGAAAAGAAGAGCGATTGATGTGGCGTTGGAGCGACGGTCAGGTGTTCTCTGGCTGTGCAGGACTGTTGCAGGGGGCGAGGGTCTTCATGTTTCCTCTTCAAACATCTGCATCAGGCCGGACTTGATGGGTCGATCCCACGTCCACTCCTGTTTACGCACTCATTTAAGATTCTGTGTGCCATGAAATTATATATAATTGTACATAATGTAGTATTTTTCATGCTTTTGTGGTTTACATGTTACAATAAATCCATGTCAGCTGCATTCGCTTGTGTGGGTTTTCTGAGTAAATGACTGTTTTCATTGATCTGTTCCTTAAAGGTTGGTTTCACAGAGGGTAAAGGTGTCTGACAAGGCCAAACGGTTAAAAATAGCTCATTCTGTTAGTTTTCAGTAAGCGATGGCCTAGTAAAAGGTGAAAGGTATAAAGATCACATTACCAGAGTGTATAGCAAAAGCAAGCAGTTTTGTTAAAAGTCTTATGCTCGTGGCCTAAATATGGCCCAGTTCTAAGTACATCACGTAAACAGAGATTTAAATGAAATTACATGAATTCAGGAGGCAGATACCGTTGACAGAAGCACTTGCATTAATCAATACAGTGTTAAAGAGAGTTTTATTTGGACATTTATTTCATTGTGATATTAAAGCAACATATCAAAAAAGAATATAATAATTTGTAGTCATTATATTCTTACATTTATATATATTTCAGTATTTTTTCATCAAGTTTACTATTAGTTTTGCTACTTACATATTCATATTCCCATAAGATGTAATGCATTTGCCCAACTTATGGTACATATTATACCTTCGTCTTTTAAATGGACAAAACCTTTATTCCTGTACACTGTATGTAATATTGTCTTACAACCAAATCTTACATAATTAGCATCTGATCTATATTTACTTGAGCCGTTTTATTTACAAATCTGGAACGTCAGCCTTGATATCCATTTCACATCCACAATGTTTGTTTTTTTTATTTTCAGTTTTGCTTTGGTTTATATTACATTGACTGTTCAGATATGCAAATGAAAATGAAAAACATGCACACTATATATCCAAAGATATTTTAATTGCTTCTCGATGGTTGTCATTTCATCCTGGTACTGTTGTGTCACAAGTCGGGGGAAAAAAAGGAAATGGTTACATACAGTAACATTACAAAACTGCATTGTGCTGCACTTAATCCCAGCCGCTAAATGAAATCACTTCTGCATTCGTGAAGAATATTTGCATATTGCAAAACAGAAGACCTTCGTCCCTCTGCATTGCTCATAGTCAAACAGATGCATAGAGCATACAACGCTTGGAGAAACTGCAGCAAAGCTGGACTTTGGTTAAAATGACAGATAGTTTATCTCATATGTGTACATATAGACTTATTACAGACCTGCTTTACTTTCAACACAGCCGATCTCTGAGAGAACTCTAAACATTTCATTTTAATGTCTTCCATCACTTTATTCTATGGAAGCTTGTTTCCGCCACGGGACAAAAATAATAATAATAATAATAAAGGTAATTGCAATTGCTTTTTTGAATCTCACATTTAAGAGGAAAAAAAGGTAGGTCATTTTTTTTTTAATGAACTTTTATTTTTATTCCGTGGCAGGAAAAAAAATAGCCTAAAGTCAGAATTGCAAAAAAAAGTCAGAATTCTGAATTTTTCCCAAAATTATGAGTTAACAAATATCATTGATGAATACTCTCAGATCAAACTACATTTATTTGTCCCAAATGGAACTGCTGATTGTCCATAATTCATTGCTGTATTATTTTCTCAGTGATTAAGCCTCTTCATTCCAAAGAACTTCAGTGTCAGTGCATGAGCCATGATAGAAACAACACATTTTGCATTATTAATAAATGGCTTGACTCATTTGTGAAGGAAAACCAGCATAAAGTAATGTGTGTGATTCCCTGCATCATTTCAGTATACAACAAAATCAATTCTTTCATCATTTACTCATCCTCATGTCATTTCAATTTGTATGACTTACTTTCTTCTGTGGAACACGAAAGGAGATGTTTGGGAGAATGTCCACGCTGCTCTTTTCCATTCAACAAAAACACATAGCAAGTTAGCAACCTAAAGAGGGGCTGTCAAGCTTCAAAAGGGACCAAAAAACAACATAAAGTATAGTATAAAGTCTTTGTGTGAGTGAAAAACAGTCTGAAATTCATTTACACACTGAAAAGCTTCCCCTCCTCCATAGCTCCCGTATCTGATTTGCATAGTCAAAGTGTCACATTTCATTGGTTCTATGTGTCTCGAGGCATATCGCCATGATTTTGAATGGTCTGAACCGAAGGCAAATGTATGGAAGCTTGGTTCCGCTACAGCATTAAAAAAAATTAATAAATTAATTAATCTCCTCCATAGCTCCCGTATCTGATTTGCATAGTCAAAGTGTCACATTTCATTGGTTCTATGTGTCTCGAGGCATATCGCCATGATTTTGAATGGTCTGAACCGAAGGCAAATGTATGGAAGCTTGGTTCCGCTACAGCATTAAAAAAAATTAATAAATAAATTAATAAAAAATGTAATTGTGACTTTTTATCTCACAATTCTGACTTTTTTCTCTCTCAGAAAAACTCTGAATTCTGACGGAAAAAAAGTTATAACTGCAAGACATAAACTCAGAACACCCCCCCCCCAAATTTATGATTTTTCTTCTTTGAACTGCAAGTTCACATCTCGCAATTCTGAGTTTTCTGAAAGTTTATGAAAGTCTGATATGTGAGATAAAAAGTCGCAATTATCTTTTTGTTTTTATTTTTTTGTTCCTATGACAGAACAGGCTTCAATTCAAATGTGACATAACTGCAGAAGACAAGATTTTTAGCAAATAATAACTTTAAAATTATAAAAGTATGTGATATTACAATTTTAGAACATAACGGACAGGACATATGGACCACATTTATGGCATGTTTTTGGGGCTCAACAACCCTCATCCACTTATATGAGCAGCTTGGACATTCTGCAAAAGATCTTTCCACGAAAGAAACAACATCAAACGGGTTTGGAACAACATGAGGGTGACTAAATGATGAAGGAAATTTCATTTTTGGTAAACTCTTTCTAGGACATGTCAATCCACTGCATATATCCTTCGGCCTTGAGCGCTGAAGCCTCTTTGACGACGGTAACAGTGCTCGGTGAAACGCGCAATGAATCCTTGCGTAAAAGCGCACCACTTCATATCGCGTGGAAAGCCGCGGTCTCGCTGGATGACGAGCTGTGGTACTTCAGGGAATAGTTCATCCCATCGTTGTTGTCCCAGAACTCAGAGTTATCGTCCCTCATGTACACGGCGAAATGCACAGCAGCGCTCGGACCTAAGAAAGGAGGCGTGTACATGGTGAAGGAGAAGCGCTCTCCGCGCGTCTTGTACTCTGTGGGCACGGGGATGGCTTGCGCATCCACGAACGACAGCCAGTCGTTGAAAGTATACCTGACCCCGACCTCTCTCCCACCCATCGCCCGTATGATCCCACGGACATCAAACTGCGTGACCATGACGCTTTCCAGCGCGACGCGGCAGCGCGTCAGCCGCGTCTCCAAGTCACCGGTGTCCACGGGCGTCTTGAACGCCGGGACCAGATAGTCCAGAGCCAGAGAGGGCTTGATGTTCACGCACAAGTCATCCATGAACTCCCGGTCCTTGTGGAGAGGGAAGCTCTTCAGCCTGGTGAAGACTTTGGCTGGAATCTGAGGATCGTCGCTGGTGCTGAAGTGCTTGACGCTCGCCAGATTCAAGCCGAGCGCGTCCGCGAACTTCACGCGTTTCCTGCAGTTCTGGGAGATCTGGTGGAACAGGTTCGCCTGCTCTGGATACGCAGGTAAGGACTTGGCTCTTCTCCTGTCTTTCAGGTTCTCGGGTATCTCCTCGGGTTGAAGATCATCATCGGAGTCCAGTCCGTTCTCCGTCTGCTCCTCGTTCATTATGTCCATCATTCCAGGTTTGTAATCTCCAGTGACAGAACGTGTCATTCCAGGAGAATCACTCCAGAGGCGCATTTATGCGCGGTCCTACATTGGTGGTTTGTCTAGTAATCAGTTACAAGCTGGTTACGCCCACCGCTCGCCAGATTCAAGCCGAGCGCGTCCGCGAACTTCACGCGTTTCCTGCAGTTCTGGGAGATCTGGTGGAACAGGTTCGCCTGCTCTGGATACGCAGGTAAGGACTTGGCTCTTCTCCTGTCTTTCAGGTTCTCGGGTATCTCCTCGGGTTGAAGATCATCATCGGAGTCCAGTCCGTTCTCCGTCTGCTCCTCGTTCATTATGTCCATCATTCCAGGTTTGTAATCTCCAGTGACAGAACGTGTCATTCCAGGAGAATCACTCCAGAGGCGCATTTATGCGCGGTCCTACATTGGTGGTTTGTCTAGTAATCAGTAAAAACGGAGTGAATTGAGTGGGTCTCAGGGGGTCAGACAGAGAGAGAGAGAGATCAACATGAGCCTCTACACACACTTATTCAGCCTTTTTTTTTTTTTTTGGAATCATTGGCTATAAAAATTGTTTGTTTTGTGCCATAAATGATTGAGCTCATTTGTTCCCCATTATATAATATAATATAATAATTACAGCATTACAGTACTTTAATTTATTTATAACACAATTTATAAATAAATTTAAACAAATTCTAAATTATAGCATGACAGTGCTTTTGCCTAAATAAATAAATAAGTACATGCAGTAATGTTAAAAATGTATAGTGTAATGTGTTATCTAATTCACTGACCATCTCAGGAATATCCTAGCTCATACCCTAAATATACAATAAATACATCTTTAATATACTCCAAAATATATTTGGGTGAAAATAAATAAATATTTACTATATTTATAAATAATGAAAAACATTTTCCTCAATATAACATTAACGTACTTTATATTTAATTAATAAATAAATAAAAGTACATTCTATAATGTGAAGTTTTTAATTGACCTATACAACCGTTCTTTTCTTTAGATTTCATTGCTCTGCGTTCCAAGAGTTTTTATATACAGTATAACATGTCTGGGATTCCTCACACTTTCACTTGCTGTTGTGTGTATGTGTGTGTGGAAATTGTCTGTTTTCTCTCACTCCATGGTCACTCGGAGCATACTGTTCCAGAGCTGTGCGCTGCTTGTGACATATGTAATATAAGTTACTATTAACGTCTTGTTTATTGAAGAACATTACATCACATTCACAATCATGCCTTTGGTCTGAATATCAGCATGGCTGTGATTACCTGCGGCACTCAGTCGAGACCTACGAGAAATGGACATTCGGTAAAAGTGCTTTAAAAGGAAACATTTAAACAGTTGCTGGAAACGGGCAACAGGTTTCTGCGCAGATGTAACCAGCAAAAATGTAAACAGGCTACAAAGTGTCCATATGTGGCTCTGTGTCAGTACAGCAGCTCTGGCTGCTGTCCCATCTAATGTCCGCAGGTCAGTGAGATCTTCAAAACACGCTGTTATCACAGACAAGACAAACACACTGTTACAACACCATTAATGTCCAGCTGCAACACGAGTTCACAGATGCACTTGACCTAATACGGCTTTTGATTTACATGTTTACATGGACTGAGCAATGTGTAAAGCCATAGTCCAACAGCAGTTTAAATGTTATTACAGGCTGAAAGCACAATACATGATGTGATGAGCAGGGTTGGGCAAAGATACATCAAAATGTATTTTAAAATAAAATACCAAATACCTTAACTTTAAGTGTATCAAAATAAACTGCAAAATACAGCAGCCACACCATGTATCAAAATAAACTACTGTATTTTTGTGTTTTAAAAATACAAAAAAAATACTTTTACAAGGGAGCATGATATTTCTTCGCAAACCTTCCGTCAATTGGCCTATTTGATCTATCCCTTCACCATAATACACTCAGCAACAGCTTTTCTTTGCCCGAGTCGTGCAATAAATCTGACATATGCAACCAGTTAACAGATCAAATATTCACTCCCAGATGAAGGTTAGTTTTAAAGTAACCAACAGTTTAATGTTTAACTGTTTGCGATTGACTCATAATTGTATCCTAATTTAGTTACATGATGTTTGGTAACAAAAGGCCTACCTTGCATCAGCAACACTGACTCAATGACAAACAAGACATCCGTAAGAAGACAACTGATGGCTCCTGTATTCATAGCAACTAGTTTCTAACTAATTAATCATTTGATTGTTGATCAAATATACTAATATATTATGTGTCAGGCAGTCATTCATGCAATGGTATGCAAACTCATGATCCTACTTCAATTAGGGTGCAATATTCAGCAGTCAAATATTTATTTATCAATCATTGGACGCCTATTTGGAAGATGAAAACAAACATTTTAGCATTTCAACAATTATTAAATGATCAATGTGTTTTGATTTTAAATGTAGTCAGGAATGTAATCAGAAAGTAGCAACAGAACTTGTCAAGGAGTATTAACCCAACTCAGACCACTGAATCTACTGAGAGCCATAGAGGTATAGAGGACACATACACATTAATAGTGTCCTAACAACAAGTCTGGGCAAACTACTGAGAAGGCACCAATCAGAGGCCGCATTTTTATGTCATCATCATGTAGACTTAGTATTTATACAGTATTTTAAAACTACAAAGATACAAAATATGAAGCCATTTCCATCAACCCCATCAAATACAAATAACAAAATCCTGTTTTATATTTGAAATACGTATTTGAAATACATGTATCATAAATACTGCCCATCCCTGATGATGAGGACTTAGGATATTTAATAATTAAAATAAAATCTGATATTTAATATCAGCATATATTCTAAGTTGTTTTAACTGTAACACTTGGACAGAAGAGTCACAACAATTACCACATCAGATCCAAACAAGGAATATGAAACAAGGTTTTTGCAATGAGGTACTTCACCAGCAGGTGTCAGTGTTGTAACATTTCTTGACTACCAAAGGTCTAACATAAATATGGTGAGATCAAAACTATTTCACACTTCTGAATGTCACTCCAATGGACAACAAAATATCAAACTAGATATCTGCGCTTAAAGCGAAGTTCATTCAAAAATGAAAATTTGCTGAAAATGTACTCATGCTCAGGCCATCCAATAAATAAATGATGTATATATAGATGATGATGTTATAGATGATGTTTCTTGATAGGAACAGATTTAGAGAAATGTAGCATTGCATCACTTGCTCAGCAATGGATGCTCTGCAGTGAATGGGTGCCGTCAGAATGAGAGTCCAAACAGCTGATAAAAACATCACAATAATCCACAAATAATCCACAGCACTCCAGTCCATCAGTTAATGTCTAGAGAAGCAAAAAGATGCGTGTCTGTAAGAAACGAATCCACAATTCTAATGTTTTTAAATTTAAACCATTGCGTCTGTCCAAAATATGATTTCGTAATCCTTAATAACGCTTCCTCCAGTGAAAAAGTCATCTGGTCTGAAAGAAATATGCACAGATCAAGCACCGTTTACAAGTGAGAACAGTCCC